ATACACTAATATCTAGCTGGCAGGAAAAAAATGGGAATTTTCGAAATAGGTGAACAGCATTTAAGTCTATCTCATAATGGTGTGGGACCCTATTAGCATACCTTATCGAAACTATCCGAATTTTCCACGTCCATAGGGAAAATGAGATCAAGATCGGCATACGAGAAATCATCAGCGGATGCGACATGCGATGCGGCTCCACCATTTAGTTTTACCGACTTCGGCGGCATGCCAGCTTGCCTGGAGCAAGAGTATTAGGTATTGTGAAAATCTTAGAATTTTTGTGTATACTGTATCTTAATTCTGCAGTAAAGCAGACTGGCCTGCTTTGTATGCACATATAATTCGTTTACTACCCCGAGCTAACCTAATTATGAATCACGCACACTGCCTGTTGGCTTGTGTGGGGAAACACATTCGAGAGGCGCACACACTCAATTTTCACTCGAGTAGAGGATATTGAAAGCTAAGCCGAGTTTGGCTAGACAGCGCTGCTTTTGTTTTCCCTCATTGCCTCATAATTTGCTTCTGTTAGTTTATTTCCGTTGGCTGCTGCCCATATGGCGTTTTTGCTTCGCATAAACGAGGCATAAACATACTAAATACACTTTGTGATGCGAAGTGAACTATCACATCTGTCCTTGGGGATGAGGGTGTGGTACTGTTTAGAAAAGCCGTAATTGCAATTTGCAAAAATAAAATTCTATGATTTTCCAGAAGTTCCCAAACAAACAGCGCAAACAATCAACCAACGCTCCCTATATGGATTGAACAGCTGACATTGCATGGAAAGCAACAAGCGAACAGCTGATCAACGAGCACAAGGGCTCTATCCCACGCACAGCAGTCAAATTCACAATTCCTATACACCATGAAGCAAATGATTGTCACAGATATTGATGAGTGCGTTTAATTTGCAGCAGTTTCGCGATGCGAAGAAGCACCAAAGTCAGTTTTGGAATAACGAAAGAAGCAGCATTCAAACGCAAAAAAAATCTACGGCAGTGACGGATGCGAGAGACCCTTATTATCAATTAGACATTAGTTGTGCCTCTATATGGAGAGCGCAAGTAAGTGGGGGTCGCATT